ACCTCCTCTGTGCTAATCATCAACACTTCGCTGGATTGACCTGGGCTGGATACCGTTTTGTCAGAAGCGACTGTAGAGTTGGCATCTAACACTTCGTCATCCGAGGATAATCCTTGATTCATCCTCTGATAGTCCCTTTGTCTAACGGTTCCCGACTGTAACCGAGTTATATGTTGGGATATGTCCGAAAAATGACGAGGACTGAAGCTTCGCGTTGACTTCCCTTTATCCACCATATTAACTGTGACTTCTGAAAGTTCGTCATCTCGCGCAGCTGGTCTTTTTCTATAGAAACACCTTGGCTTGGTCCTGGGCGTTCTGGTGGAGATCCTTTTAAATACCGAGACCCTCTGTGCAGTAGTCTTGGGGTAGCTACACGCTGATAATACTGCCCTGATAATTTCGATACACGGACAGTGAGAGTCCGCTTCCCGGGTACTTCTCTTTCAAGATTTATTCGTACCCCCAGCCCGATAGTACAACTCATCGATATTGTGGTCAGAGCAACCTATCGGCTGTTTATATGAATTCTCAGGTATAACGTATTCTTCTGTCTGACGCGTTTTCATCTGAGTAAACATCGCCTTGTTGGCGTCTACTGGAGTCACACGCTTGGAATCACACCTTTGTGAGGGTGAAACCTTAACGGGCTCCTGGTTTTCTGCACGCACCCTTAAGCGGGCCGTTATAGAAATTAATTTGTTAGGAGGTCGCGTACGACCCCCAGTCTGGATGTTTGCTCGAAGCTCCTTCGACGGTCTCAAGCTTTCCTTAACAGGCGCTTTTCCTCGATCCTCGGGTAGAGAACCGATGTGATCCTTCCATGGGACTCTAGATTTGGGGAGATCCACGCTGTCATAGGGCTTCACCAGAGGTGCGGGAGCAATAGGAGCAGGATCTGGAGTTAACAAAGGCCGGAGAGCAGCCTCGTATGCTTTTGCCTTAGGCACTGATTTGGCCTTTGACATCCAAACTTGCTTAGATCTTGGTGGTTTTTTGACCACCTTTCCTTTCTGTAACTCCTGTGCATTCTGTACAAGGATCCTCGTCTGCGCTAACAGTGTAAGACGCTTATGGATACGCTCCTCAAGAGTTGAACGAGTTCGTTTGACACGAACCCATTCGTTAGTAGGTGGTTGGGAGGAGGTTCCCAAAGCTGGTTGCTGGAACACTTTGCGCCTTCAGAGTTTCAGATCCGCATCATAGCAGATCCCGTCAACAGGCTCCAAAGGCTTGGCAAATTGACGCGCGAGATGTTGACGGTGCCTTTGACGAGCCCTCTTCATCAGCACTGGTGCACTTTCAACGGGCAACTCCTTGACATTCGAGGAGTTATCACGAACGTTGGATCTGGTTTCTTTGGAGGCCGGAGAGGAATCTTCCACTGCATTCGGGTTTAGATCATCAGCCTTGGATTTTGGATCTGAAGTCACGTTCTTCGCGGCAGCGGTTTTCCTGCGTTTGCAAGAAGAAGATCTGGAGGAGGAGAAGAAAATATATTCCTCGAATTTCTGCTGGTCGAATTCGTATTCGACCTCTTCGAACACCAGGATCTTGATCATCGGCTGCGGCACGACAGCCTCGGCAGCAAGGCTGTTGGCTCCCACTGTGATCGCCAGCTTGTTTGCGGAAAAAATTGATTGTTTCATTACAGGATTTAGTACAAATTGACTGTGGTCGCCAGCTGTTGGCTCTCACTGTGGTCGTCAGCTTATTTGCGGAGAAAATTAATTGTCCCACCGTGCCGCAATAGAATCCTGAACCTGAGCCGTCGGTCCCTGATCCTGCTCATGAGTACCCGTATCCTCCGCATCACCGTCGTGCTCGCCTGGCGTCACCTCAGTCGGCACTCTAATGGATACCGCACTATCTGGCCACCTGATGAGAGCTGGGAAGCTTCAAGATAGAAGCCTCATCGAATGTGACGTCCCTACTCAGCACAATCTTCTTATCAACTGGATCCCAAAGCTTGTATCCCTTGACACCACGCTTGAATCCTACAAATATGGCCTTCCTAGCTCGAGGTTCTAACTTATCAGTTTTAACATGATAATATGCAGGGCAACCAAATACCTTAAGCAGGTCATAGTCATGTGTTGTCTCTCCTGACCACATCTCCATAGGGGTCTTCCCCTCAATCGCAGATGAAGGCAGGCTATTAATGAGGTGGCTCGCATAAGAAAGTGTCTCAGCCCAAAAGATCTTCTCCAAACCACTATGCGCCAATAAACATCGAATCTTCTCCAGCAAAGACCGATTCAATCTCTTCGTCACCCTATTCTGCTACGGTGTATGACTAACTGTGAAGTGCCTCTCTATGCCCTCGTCTCGACATAGCTGCTGAAAGGGGTCTGAAGTATACTCGCCGCCGTTGTCGGATCGCAACGTCTTGATCTTTCTCCCAGTCTGCAGTTCCAATCTCTTCTTCCACTCCACAAACAAATCTAGGACTTCACTCTTATGCTTCATGGTGTACACCCAACATCGCCTAGAATAGTCATCAACGAACGTGACGAACCAATGTCGACCACCAAGTGATGCCATCTTAGTGGGACCCCAAACATCGTCTGATGAATGGCAGTCCCGAACTTCACCTTAGTCTTCTTTCCAAGAACACAGTGCTCACATAACTCAATCTTTCCACTCTTGGCTCCCTTCAATAGCCCCTGCTTGCACAAAGCCTGCAATGACTTCTCTCCTGTGTGCCCTAACCTGTAATGCCAAAGTCTGCTCATGTACGCCTCTGAAATAGCCGAAGCAACCTGGCCAATCTCGGTGCTCCCCTTCAGATAGTATAAATTATGACTGCGGACTCCCTTCATCACCACCAAAGATCCCTTGTAACCTTTGCTACAGCATCCTCAAAGGTCACCGTGAGTCCCTTCGCCTCCAAAGCCCCAACTGAGATAAGATTCTTCTTAAGTTAAGGAACGAATCTCACATCCTTTAACTCACGGACTACTCCATCGTGCATCCGAATCCTCACAGTACCTATCCCACAAACGCCACAGGATTGATCATTTCCCATGACAACAACACCCCCATCGAGTCTCTCAAATGATGAAAACCAATCTCGCCTAGGAGTCACATGATAAGTAGCGCCAGAATCAAGCATCCACTCCGATGCATCCAAATGGTTCACCTCCGGAGTAATCAAAAGAGAAAAGCTCGAATTATCGGAATCATCGCCTTTCGCAACATTCACCTCATTGGCCTTCGGGCCCTTATTCTTACTATTCTCCTTTTCTTTGACTTTCGGGCAGTCTCTCTTCCAATGTCCCTGCCTTTTGCAGAATGCACATTGGTTCTTTCCAAGCTGGTGACGACCTCTTGACTTTGACCTCCCTCTATTTCTACCTTTCTGTTATGAGCTTCTACCTCTCGTCGACAAGGCCTCTCCTGAAGTACTAGCGCGGGAAGTCTCCTTATCCTTCCTCCTCAAATCATAGTTCGTCAATGCGTTAGTCACTTCACTATAAGTGATAGAAGATCTCCCGTTCAGCAACGTAAGCACGAAGGTATCATACTCCTCATCCGGTAAGGAGCCCAAAAGAATAATAGCCTTGTACTCATCTGTGATCTTCTCATCCACGTTCGCCAAGTCCGACAACAACTTAGTGTAGTTGTTCACATGAGCCGCAAGCGAGGTGCCTCTGGACATCTGAAATCTGAATAATCTTCGCAGCAAGTACAACCTGTTCTCAACACACTTCGTGAGATACTTGTTGTTGAGAATCTTCCACATCTTCATTGCAGACGTCACCCCAATAACATCGTATTTCAGCTCCTGTTCCAAACAGGACCTGATCACCCCGCAAGCATTTCGATTCATCTTTTCCCATATCGCCTCTTCATATTTAGGTGGCCTCACATCGACCATGATGGTCTCCTCCAGATTTTGAGCATTGAGCGCATCCTGTACGTCGCTCATCCACAAACCAAAATTGATCTTGCCGTCATATTTTACTACACTAATCTTAGTATTCTGAAAACCCACTTGAATTGTGCCTGTCATCTTGCTGCTTTCACCAACTTCTTCACTCATAATCACAAATTCCAAATTGTAGAGAAAGATCCAAACTTTAAAAAGAATAAGAAATTACCCAACTGAACCCTAGATTGGATTCCAAATAGAACTCCTAACCACACGAGGAAAGCGAGATCTTCAACGGCATCTTCAAACCCTAACTCCACCAAAGCCTAGAACTCCAAGAACCAAGCTTCCAACTGAATCTTCCTCCACCTAATCCAAAAAACCCCAGATCTGAAATCTGAGCTCTGATACCACTTGTCGCGCGCCTATGCGGAAGCGTTGCACGCACACACAACGAACTTGTGATCACGGAAGAAGAAAGCCACACTCTTGCACAAATCAAGCCAATTACGACAAATCAAACCAAACACAGAGATATACGTGGTTCGGCAACTTGCCTACGTCCACGGGGAGAGGATGGGGAGATTTCACTAATTCAAGGAGAGTACAAAGGATTACAATCACATAAAACTCTCAAACTAACCCTCAACCAAAGATCTCACCTTGCTCACAATATCTCTCTCTCACAATGCTCAAAAGATTCCTCAATCTCTGATAAAAAACCTTAAGAAATCGTTTCCCTATTTATATCAAAACAAAAACCCAATCAGACTGCAAACAGGAAACCTGATTATGCAAAAAACCCATCGTAAGTCGACTTAACAGATACCATAAGTCGACTTGGCAGAGAGAAAAACAGCAACTGGGGCACACTTCGTAAGTCGACTTATCAGGCCTGATAAGTCAACTTGGCAGAGCGAAAAAACATAACTCCAGTGCAGATCGTAAGTCGACTTGTGCACACTAACAAGTCGACTTACCATAAGTCGACTTAGCCATGTGCATGAGTCGACTTATGCCAGAAAATCTGGTTTTTCTGATTTCTCCACAAAAACATCTTATTTATTTTCTTAATAATTTCAAGTATTTGTTTAGTCTCTTGATAATTCTAAGGTCTTTTTTCTGGATGTCACAGCAATCACATATGATCAGACCTTCATGGTACCCTGCAGTGACTTACTTGGGAGATCAGAAGCAGGAGCTAGTGCAGAATTTCACCATCGTCGGATGTATTGTGGGTTGCTTGATCATTTTAGGGTGCATTTTCTATTGCCTTCTAAAACGACGTCTCCAGATGCAGGCAGCACATGCAGCTTTGGCATCACCATCACCACGCGGGCTAGATCGCCAGCAGATCGAGATGTTCGAGGTATCTCCTTATGTACCTGCAACAGGGATAGCTACAGAGTTGGAGGAGTGCCCCATCTGTCAGGAGCAGTATGAGCCGGGCGAGCTGCGTCGTATCTTGACCTGTGGGCACTACTATCACATGGAGTGCGTTGATGTGTGGCTGTCCTCCCGCCGGACATGCCCAGAATGTCGTAGGGAGTACCTATAGTTTTATAGTTCTTTAGCTAGGTATGTGTGTTGGTATTGCGTAATCTAGAGAGTACTAAGATGGTATACATTTCTTTGATTTTTTGTTGGTTTGAATACGTGGGTATACTAATGAAATATTATATAGTTTTTCTGTTTAATGTAAAAAAAAAAAGAATTAATAAATCTCTTGTTCTTTGGTATATATATTTTTTAATTACTCCAAAAGTGCAAACGGACCATAAATATCTACAAGCAATTGGTGCCGCTACCGTAAGATGTTATTAGTTAAGTGTTATTCTTTTTTAATTAAAAAATATTTAAGTGTTATTCAGTTCGGCATATTAAAAAGTACAGTGAGTATTCAGGTATCTAGAAAGCATAGAAAAGCACCTAACTAACTGTCTAGCAGGAGGCAACAAATATTTTCGTTGTACACAAAGTACAATGAGAAACATAATAAATAGGAAAAAGTTTACATAACAAAAACAACACTCTAACCAACACAATTCTATAACCGTTTGACAAAGGCTTAAGTGAGGGGTTAATGAGACTTAATCCCTTCTTACTCTGCCAAACACAAAAAATATATACAATGGTTAAAGTGAGTTAACCCTCCGTAATTTGCCAAACATAAAAAATATAGAAGGGTTAAGTTAACCTCTCTAGAGAGATTAAAATGAGTTAATCCCTCAAAATGAGGGATTTACTAATACTCCTATTTAGATGGAATAAGAGTTAACTCTTCTAATTATAAAGAGAATAGTCAAAATCATTGTTATTTCCAAATACTAAAACTGATCACAAATGCTAAAAAAAACTTATTTAACGGGTTAATAATTTAGTCATTCGGATTATCGAATGAGCTAAGTACATTAATCTTTCTATTTAACTCATCTTTCTTAACCCTTTGCCAAACGGGGAGTGTTCTACTCGGTGGCAAACATCACAATAATTTCTCCACGAAGCACACCACTTATATCCCATTACATAATACTATTCTTTTAGCTCATGCTCTCTTTTCTCCATCTTCTGATCTTACATCTATTTCCAAACTGTTGCTTCCAAAACGTGTTTACCTCTTCCAGTCTATGCAATATACTAACAAATAAATTCTATGCATTAGTAAATGTAACAAATAAAATGAGTATTTTATCTTATCTGCTAAAGGATCAAGTCACCTAAAACAGAAGCAACTTTTACGAGAAATTCCTTTACATAGTATCACATTTAAAGAAAATTAATTTTCTAATAAAAAGCAAGTTAAGAAATCCAAAAATGTGTTTACCTAATTTTTCATTGAACAAACCTAACCTAGATGACCTCAAAGTAATTGCATCGAGTCTAGCCCCGCAATAGAATTAAAAAAAGTAATATGAATAGTTAGAGAATTCAGAATGAATATACTCATAATTAAAGTTTTAGCAAATAAGACTTCATTTAATTTATTGAAGAGATTAAGATTGTAACGCCCCACCCCGGAATCCCTGAGTCGGTACGCTATTAGATCTGATGGACTGGCCTCACAAACCACCCATCCTAGAATTTCTCCAAGCCAAACACGCTTAACTTTGGAGTTTCTAAGAGTTGGGCTTATGAAAAGAAGATGCATCTTGTGTTGTGCCAAAAGCTGTGTCGAGAAACCAAACCAAACGCCAATCCAAGAGAGCCAAACGAACTAAATATCAATGCACAAACAAAACCCCAATTTTAACGTGGTTCGGCAAATTACCTACGTCCACGGGGCAAGAAGGGGATGGGGTTTTCACTAATAGAAAAAGAGTACAAACTGAGATTACAAATCACTCGAAGGAACAAACTAATCTCACCAACAAGCTCTTAATCTCTCCAAACAAAACCCTAAACAAATAGCTCAGAAAATACTTCTTTTCTGTGCTCCAAATATCCCCAATTTTTCTTCTCCTAAATTCTCTCTTCCAATTGTTCCATATATATAGAAATCCTAAAATCATAAACAAACTAGGAATTATAAACCAAAAGCCAAATCAAATTAGGAATCCTAATAACCTATTACCAAAATAGATTAGGAATCCTAATAACCTCATGTTACCAAAATAGATTAAGAATCCTAATAGATTAGGAATACTGCTATTCAACAATTCTCCACCTCGGCGAAGTTTTTCCAAAACTGAGCCGACACCGATCAAACCAAATGTCTCACTTGTTGCGTCCAGTAAGAAGTGAAACGATCCACAACAACGGACTCAATCCACAATAAGTCGAGACCCAAACGGGAGTGCGAACACTCACCCAAATGTCGGTATCTACTCACCAAATCGGCTGCATCAAAACTGACTGTCAACGTATCCTCTTGCCCAAGGAATCAAGTCTTCACGTAGTTCACCTAAACGGCCTCCAAAGACCCTCAAACAAATAGAAAAGTCTACAACTCTTCTCCAATATCGCCAACGGATCTACAACTGATAGCGACCCCAAACTGATACAAATCAAACACCTCAATTTGAGGTGAACCAATGGCCGTATCCAAATCATGTCCACCAGCTGCAACCGAATCCAAAAACAATCCATCATCTGCATCCGAAATCAAATGATCCCTAACATATGTAACCTCAGCTGGAATCCCAAATGACGCAGTATGATCTGGAGTATGTAGAATAAGTTCCACCCAACGTGAAGTAGCATCACCCTCCACTTGCTGCGATATCCAAACGACCTGATCAACACTCTCTACCTGCTGAGAGTCAAAAGTGATATTCCTGCTCAGAACAGAATCAGAAGCTCCCAAACAATAATCAAATGAGCCTCCGAATCCCAAACGTGTAATCGGATCAAATCTCACATCCTTGATGTGACCAAATATTGGGTAATCAAATATCCGACGCCGACCAAAATCTGAAGCAGCTCCACCAGATCCAATAACTCCTAATGCAGCAGTCGATGACCTATAACTAAGATGACCCAAATATGTCGAAGCTCCATAACCAATGCTCGACAACCAATGCCGATCCTCCTCCAGAAAGGAACGACCCATCGAAACTGTAATCTCATCTCGTCGCCCCAAAGTCTCCACACCAATGAAGTATCTCCTATTGCCGTGAGCTCGGCACAAACGCAAGAAAGGACCCCTACCAAATCTAGAATAACGAGTTACCTTTCTGCCAATACACTTCTTCCAATTGTTGTTGACTTCTAGGATTTTACACCAACGGGAACTGGTCGCGACCCAATAATACCTAGAATAATCACCAACTGCGAAAACTACAAAACGATTACCTCCTAATGATGCCTCCTTGGAAGGCCCCCAAATGCCTAACTGAACACCTCCTAAAAGACCCCTCGCTCGATGGATAGGAGTGCCAAAATCCATCTTGGTCTAGCTCATCCCAATGTGCTCAAAGGGCTTCCATCTGCAGGTCAAAACACTCCTCAACAACCTATGCACGGCATCACCAATCAAATATCCCAGCACCAAACAACGCCACAATCTAGTCAAATGCAATGAAGTCGTCAGAGCTCTATCAATCACCGTGCTCCCAAGCAAATAGTATAAGTTACTTGTTTGCGTCGAAAATTGTTGTATTCATTACGGTATTCATTACAACTTCGATCGTTACAATGAAAACAAAAAAAAGATTGTCTTTTTATAAGACTTTTACACAATGAAAACAAAAGTTTACAACTCTCGTCAAAACAAACGCAGAGATCGTTTATCGGTCTTCTGCTTGCGTGGGATCTTTGCATGTGCCGGGGTTTATCCGTGGACGACCTTAGATCTGGATCCGGTTGATGGAAAATTCGGCAGAGTTTCGCCTTCGCCGAGGAAGTATTTGATTTGAAGCGCTGAAATCGACCAAGCGAAATCATGGCTCTTCTCGAGATTAAGACCAAGCCTAATCTCAAGGGACGGACGGGAACGGGCGTCGGATCTCTCGAACTCTCCTTCTTTATGCCGAAGAACTCGCCAAGATCTGTCAACCCTCGCTGAAATTCGTGCTCCTTTGACTCCACAATCCGGTAGCACCTCCTCGTCTTGATAATTAATCGCCCCTGCTGAAAGGAGGACCCGAGCTCGTATTTATAAGCTTCAGAAGCGGTTATTTGGATGAGAACAAGTGATTTGGCTCTATCTTCAGTTAACAACAGCCTAACCACGTTTGGGGATGATATCAGGTCAGTTAGAAACCCCTGGAACCAACAAATCTCAAGAAAAACCATCCAAAACCGAACCGGGACGAAACAGTGCGCGCAGGACAAGTCTGACCCGCGCTTGCGCGGGTCGGCGCGATCCGACCCGCGCGAGCGCGGGTCGGACTTGGCCGACCCGCGCCACCGCGGGTCGGCCATGACCGACCCGCGCGGGCGCGGGTCGGCTTGGTCCGACCCGCGTCGCCGCGGGTCGGACTTGGCCGTCCCGCGCCGCCGCGGGTCGGCCTTGGCCGACCCGCGTGGGCGCACGTGCACGAACTGATTGTCACGCGCGTGTTGATCGACGCGCATGAACTGATTAATGCGCACGTGTTGATTGACGCATGCGAGCTGATTGGCGCGCATGAGCTGACTGTCGAGCGTGTAGGTCACTTGATTCGCCGTTTTGCTTCAGGCGCTTGTCGGCGTCAGATAATCCTCTTAGACTCGGATAACGATGTTCGTCGTCTTCTCTCTGTCTCAAGCTGTGTACGGACACCTATAGGCATTTTTAGACGCCTACATTACTCTTTCTGATACCCTTCATTACAATCATGGACCCAAATGTAACCTTCAAGCGTGCATCCGCCAAGGTCACCCTATAGTCTGCTACCTCCAAAGCTCCAAGTGAAATGATGTTCTTCTTTAACTGAGGAACGAACCTCACTCCAATCAACTCACGAATCACCCTGTCACTCATCCTGATCCGAACGGTACTGATACCACCAATAGAGCATTTGTGATCATTCCTCATGAGCACGAAATCCCCTCTTGCCAACTCCTGAAAGCTGGAGAACCAATCCCTCCTAGGGCAAATATGGTATGTAACGCTCGAATCCAACATCCACTCTGTAG